CACTAAACTTGGGCTCTGTTGCTTTTATTGTTGGTGTTCCTCCACTAAAACCTCTAAAGTCCTTAATATACAGCTCATAAATAAAATGCTGGAAATGTGCCTTGGACTTAATTACTCTAAACTTATTAATAAATTCGCAATAACATTTCAACAGCTGACTCCTCTTTTCAGGTGCATTCCCAGGCACCTGGAGAGAAACTAGAACAAAAAATGCTCCCAAACTAACATTCCTGGAAAATCTAACCTGTGGTCAGCATCTGTGTGCTCCACGTGGTTCATTGCTCAGAGGGAATATGCTACAGTAGAAAAAAAGCTATGAGGTAGAAATAGAGCTACTGGCTAAGTATTTGCAGGGCGGGCATGCAAGGGGATGGCGAGATCTAAGGTACGGGTCAGCCAGCCCTGGTGCTGGGGAACACTGCAGCATGCGGCGGGGGGGTCACGCGTCTCCCGCAGAGAAGCTCCTGCAGTTTTTCTCCTGGGAGATGAAAGACATCCTACCCCACTCTAAACACAGTTATTTTAGTTAGGGTTGCCAGAGGGAAAGAATTTAGCCAAATTTTTATCACTAGGCTACATTAGAAGAAAAGCTTGTGCTATGGGAGTATAAATGTCTAAGTGAGAGGCATGTTTTCCAGGGTCCCAGTGTGGGAGCAATTTGGGAGCAATCCCTGTATTCTTCTACTACAGAAAAGGGACCTTTTGGTTTTATGATTAATCCTACCCTTACTGCAGAGCAAAATGGTAATCTCAAGTACAGTTAAAAAGCGTGGTTGATTTGTAATGGGACAGCATCCAGCCCAAGCAATCCTACCTCCCACGCAAACCTTCCTCCACCACTCAGAACCAGGGACTGCGGAAGCCTGTAAGCTGAGGAATGCGCCTTTTGCATTTTTATCTCAGCTCACTGCAATGCATGTGGATTCCCATCAATATTTAGCCTTAAAAAAAAAAATGGTTAAATCCATCATAAATATTAAACACCAGAGTATACTGGCAAGTTCCCCTGAAAACAAACTTCAAAAAATAATCTCCAAAAAAGATGTCAAGGCGTCGGGAGAACTGACACTGGCATGTCATATGATGTTGTCTTATAAGGCTAAATTAAGCATCTGACCAGAGTTTAATTTCTGTAAAAACTCATGCTAATTTAAATTGCTTTAGATTTAATTAAAAGTGCTTTTCTATAGCGATAATACTGTAACTCTGTTAATTAGTATCAAGTGGCATCTAGAGGGCATATTTAAAAACTAATCTGGAGAATAAATAGAGCTAATTAACAGTCAGAATAATGCTTTATGATTGTCTTTTGTTTATAAATGCTATAATGTTCAATATGCTATTATATGAAATTGGTAATTAATACATATCAAAGTTATTTTTTTAATGCTCTCTTAACTAAGGAGTATTTCTTACACACCATTTTTCAGAAGATCCAAACACACTTCATTTCTGGAGGGAGGGGGGAAGGAGAACGGCTGTATGACGTACCACATGTGAATTCAATTAGGACCAGCTCATTCATCTCCCGTAACACAGACCGTATGTGTTTATGAGCCTGTGGGGGACATCCAGCAAGGCATCGGTTTGCAGCTACGTAGTGTTTGCCAAAGTGCCTTGCTGACCATGGCAACGGCCAGCATGGGGAAGGTTTGCACTTTATGCCATGCACAACCCTAGGAGCGGCACCGTGGTGCTGTTTAGTGGGCAGAGAAGTGGCAGATTTTGCCTTCAAAATTTAAGCCTTGCAAAACCAGAGTCAGAGTTCTGAGGAATAAGACCGGCTCCGAGGTTTGCTGTAGTATCTTTAAAAGACTGTGAGGTGCTCAAATACTACAGGAGTGAAGCTTGTAAAAGAAAGCAGTGCTAACAGTGAGGCTGTGCTGCCATCCAACCCCACCACATGAGTATGGGGGTTGGCTGGGCAATTGCACTGGCAGATGAGCTTGGAAGAAAAAGGGCAGACCAAATTTGGCACAAGGCTCAGTATCTACATGACTTTTTGTAGGTAAACATCAGCTCCTTCTGAGTCATCTGGACCAATGCAACTGCTGAGCTCCTGGCTGGCTTTGAGCAAGGCAGAGGGAATTTGTGTTTATGTCTGGAAAAGGTTGTGTAGATGTTATCAGAGCTGACCATGGCCAAAGGTCTCAGAGGGCTGCCTCTGTCCTCAAACCGAAGTTCTTGTTATCCTCCAATCTCTCCTACGATGACTGGTTTTGACTGGATTCACTAAATCAAATAAAAACATTGAAGTACTCTGAATTACATTGTGCATGAAAAGCAGAGGGGACCAACTCTGTCTTTCTGTGTGTCCCTTAATAGTTAAAAACCAGAAATAACCCCCCAAAATACAATTAAAATAAAAAGCACTTTCATTTGGTAATCTGCACTACCCATGCTGTGCAATTTTTTGAAGCATCATCAAATGAAGCACATGCCTTCCTTGTATTTTTGAAATCCATAATTTTGTGTATTCCTCCCTTTTTAATGCCTTGCTAATGTTGAAGCAGAGTCCATTTTAAAAAAGGAAAGCATCTCCTTCCTCATGACAAGGCTTCAGCATTACTTTGTAGAACAAACTTTCAGAATCAACTTTGAAGAGCGTACAAAGAAAAAAAGTAATTATCATTAACAAGATTAAAAGCTAGTCACAAGCCCAATAACTGCTGCTCTAACCTCTGTGAGATGACTTTCATTTCAGATTGCAGACATACACTTCCTTCTATAACAAGTACGTGTTCAGCAATAACAAGTTGAGATTATTTACATAGCGTAGATAGGTGTCAGCAGACACATACCGACAAGCACCTGAGATCCCAAACACCAGAAAAATGATCAAAGGAATTTGTCTGTGTACTACAAGTTGGACTAGCCTCAAGTGCAGACAAAAACACTGGAAGAAATATGAACATATGGTATAACACTTCCCAGCATGGCAAAGAGCCATGGCAAACGTTTTTGGAGATAAAATTAGATTGGGGAAGCAAAGCTGGAGAAAAACAAAGCCAAGCGTGAACTCTGAAAACATTTCAGCTCAAGGTCATTGAAATACTAGCCATGTAGCATCACCAGTGCTATCATTCTACCTTTTCTTTTCTGATAGATCTGCATAAGCCAAATAAACCCCAAGAAACACTCGGTTGCAGATAAAAATGAAAGTGCGCTACAGTGGGTAGCAATAGTTTTGATGCTGTTCACTCTGGAGACTAAAACAAGGCAGAAATGCAAAACAACTATCAAAAATAATTGCTGGTTTTTCCTAAGTACAAAGTAAATAAAAAGCAATATTTTTGTAAGTATGTAATCTGAAAAGGAGTACTTGCAACTTGCAAGGAAAAGTTTCTGTAATTTTTTTTAAGAACTGGTGATATAAATCTCTCACATTTTAAGATCTCCAAGAAAACGCATAAAACCTGTTGCTTCCTGACCTCATCTACCCTGCACAAAGACCGTACAATGAATTAGCTCTGAAGGGTGCAGCAGGAAAGGAGATTTGTGGCAGAACATGGATTGTGACAAATGTTCCCCAGCTCTGTAACACTGCAAGGATTTTGAATGGTCCTTTTCAAAGTTTTAAGCTAAAAAAGGTACTGTTAATTTTGCAAAGTTCAACATTTATCCTATAAAACACGCCTAAATTTTTATAGCTGGCGACTGAACTATTCCAGTATGCAACAACAAGCATAGAGCTACACACCTGGCCTGTCTACAAATGGGAACCATCTAGAATATCATGACATCAGGTAACAAAAAATGTTAAGAGTTGGATACAAAGTTCCATTTGTTAGACTCTGAGGTGCCCATTTAAACTCCTTTAGATTATACATAATATACTATTAATAGGCTATGTAATATGTAGAAATAATAACAATTAAAAATAATATATATCCTTCTAAGCTCCTTCATTGACTTCTCTTTTTAGGAGCTTACTAGAGAAGTAAGGAATAATTTGGAGGGAGCAGCTGCATCCACATCAAGCCATTAGAAAACAGGTATCAGTGCAGATACCAGTGGCACTGCTACGTGACTAACTGCTAGCAATGTTGAGCTACCCAGTCTGGTCCTACATGAAGACATTAATGAACAAATCTTAGACTAACCAAAGAGCACGGACTGAACTGGAGAGCTAGAGAATTCAAGTTCCTAAGACTGCAATTTCATATCAAGGAAGAAATTCTTTACAATGAGGGTGGTGAAACACTGGAAGGGGTTGCCCAGGGAGGTGGTGGAGGCCCCATCCCTGGAAACATTCAAGGCCAGGTTGGATGGGGCTCTGAGCAACCTGATCTGGTTAAAGGTGTGCCTGCTCCCTGCAGGGCGGTTGGACTAGGTGACCTCTAAAGGTCCCTTTCAACCCAAACCATTCTAAGGCTGGCCCCTGCTCCCACGCATGGGGTGCTGAACCCACCCACGGCTGAAGATGGCGCAGAGACGCACAGCGTGCTCTTGCATGTGGCTAAAGAAAGAGAACTAACATAACGGACATCAAGCTATTCAGAGAATTAGTATGAGATCCTAATTCATGCTGACTTTTTCACCACAGGTCTCCTCCTTGGTGTTCGCTTTAGAATGACGGAGGAGCTGGTGAAAGTGGTGTGATCAAAAAATATGAAGTCTGAGGTTTCCCTATGCACAGTGACTGCAGCCATGGAAGCATCCTTACAGCGATGCCTCACTGTCCTTTATCCCAGACCCAAGAGATAAAGTTGTTTGGTTTCCAAAGCTGGTTTTAAAGCTGCTTCACTGAGCCAGACAAGCCACTTCCTGGGGACCTTTTTTCTGCAGGGAAAATAACAACATTGTGCAAACTAAGAAACCCCACAGATAGAAACTTCTGGCCTTTTACCTGCTTGGTGAAGATTCAAAGCAGTAAAGACAGCGGAAGGTTTTTATCTCCAAAAGAAGCTTTCCCCAAACACGAAGGGAAGTTAGGCAAAACTATTCTAAAATCTGAAGAGGCGCTTATCAAAACAGTGATTTAGTCAATAATCTCTTACCTAAAACTCTCAATCTCTCTGCTCCCACCACCACTTCGTTGTCATCTGCAGAAAACAGCAATTTTCCAGAGAGGGTTTTCACCTCAAATTTTTGGCTGTGTGCTTCCACTGCTTGGGGACCTAGAGGGAAGAAGATATTTAGCACAACCCTTTTAGTGAAAAGTGTAAGAAAATCACATTTCATACATTTAATAAGCCCGTCTGCTAAGATTATCCTAATAGCTCTGCAGATACAACCCGCATCTGACACATCAAACAGGGAGGTTGGTGCTTTTCAGAGGGTGACTTCTCATTAGAAAAGGGCATCGCTTTCTACCCAACTAACAACCCCTCAACTATTTCTACTTACGTTTCTGTAATGCTTATGCATATCACAAAATCACCATTAAACTTGGCATAGCTGGGAGATTTTTACAAAGACTGACCCTCATGTGAAACAGTAATGTATATTTACCCAGCCATGCTTTGGGAGCATTGGTGCAGCTTTAAGAGGCATCAGGAGCTCCTGAGTACATTTTGCTTGGACTGATGCTGCAGTGTAAAACATTCCTGGTTTTCTGCCTGTCAAATATTGGATTAAACTTGGATTCAACTTGGATTAAAATTATATCAGTGTCATGCACAGTCCAATTTGGAGGAAAAAAAAAAAAAGACAAACAACACCACTGGAGCGAACGTTTTCTTTTAGACCATTTCAATCATGCACGGGCCAAGACAAACAGCAGAGCGTCCCATGTTTCACAAAGTTTTTAGACGAGTGAAACTTTCCTTCGTAGCTCTTATTTCAATTCTGCTGCTTCTCCTGCAGGCTGCTGTGCACTGCGGTGCTGGAAAGCCTCTGGCAATGCGTTTTGTCATGGAGCCTGATAAACATCAGCTGCCTGAATAGCAATTCTGTGCAGGTCTGTGGCTTAAAGCCTACAAAGAGCAGATCCCTCTATTACCCGACCTAGGCAAAACTTTGGACAAATGAGCATCTAACAGTCCTGTGCAACCCAGTCCAAGCCACAGCCTCCCTGGTATACGCTACAGCACAAGGCAGGTGATCCGACTTCACATTACCATCTTCCTGACTAGTCCCACTTCTCAAATGTCAAGAGAAATAAGACCTGAAAGCCAGTATTTTCTTACAGGCAGGTTCAAACTTAATCTATACCCAGTGTTTCCCTGCACAGGTCATCTGTATTGGTATCAGGGCATACAAAGAATTGCATGCATGGTCTGCACTACAGAAAAGTGAGGCTATGCTGAGATTCCTGGAAACACTTAAAAATCTTGCAGCCATTCTGAGAAAATCCAGTACTTTCGAGCTTTACATTTGATTTGTACCTTGCTAATTAACTGCCCCCCTATACATCACTGCAGCACGCACTACATGGGACCAAATCTTTGCTCCGCTCTGAAACCAAATCTGCTGCCGAATGCAGAATCGAGCTCAATAACCAGAAGATGGCACCGGGAGACATCACTGGCTGTGTCCTCCCAAGCTCTTGTGAAATAGAGGTGCTTAAGTGAACTAAATACCTTCTTGAAAATATATGGAGAACCAACAAACTAAACACGTTCATTCTGAATGTGAGAATCAGGGAGCTTGGGGTTGAATTTATTTCCTTCCTCCAGGCAATTTTCATGCATGCTGCTTAAATCACTGCTTACTGAAACTGCATATTTAATTATTTAATACTGTGACTAGAGGCCAAGATGTTAATATAAGCAAACCAAACAATCCAGTCTCATGTAGAAACATGTTTATGGATTACTGGCTCTGCCACACAGCAGTGCTTCTCCCACTCCCTAGATAAACCTCAATAAATATCTATCCTATATCATATATATTATACATTAGAATACATAATGCATTAGGCTCTTTCAACCCAAATTACACATGCATTCATTCAAAGGCTGCTGTGCACTGGGGATTTATGAAACACCCATTTCCCCATCCAACACACTGATGCCTGGGAGCACGAGAGCGTTCTTCAACAGCAGAAGGGCACAGATAGCTCTAAATTGCAAAGTGTCCCAACCCAGCCACAGTTAATCAGCAGAGTTCCCAAGATCTCAGGCAAGTTAAAAGTGTCTGAGGAAAACCCTGTGCCTGTTACAACAGAAATGCCACCCTGCATATGTTCTTCTTGACCCTGAAGCCGTACAACTAACCTTTCTGTCTATGGATTGGCTTTCAAATGAAAACGATGGTCTGCTTCGTTATCAGAAAGCACCAGCCAGATGCCTCTCCAGCACGGCTTTCATGTCTCTAGCTTTGTTTCTACAAAGTGGAGCGAAGTTTCATTTGTACTTCACAAGACACCTGGGCTCCCCTCCTGCGTGCTAAAGCCAACGCAGCATCCCACAACACACCCGCTTTCATCCCTCCTTAATTCCTCCATGCAGCCTTTCCCCCTCCTTACCTGTTACAAGGCGAGTAAGGACTTTAGTCTTCTCATTGAGGATGTTCACTGTCACATTTCTGGCAGACTGGAAGTACAGTGCGTTGCCCTGGAATGAGACCACGAGAGCAAGCGTGTGAGATGGGGACGGCTGCCCAAGATCAGCCTGCGTGAGACACCTGGAACTTTGCCTAACGCTGCTGCGCTGCTGTTAATGGCCCCAGGGCTGGACATGTTGTTGAGCTGCAGGCTTCCCTGCATTAATTTTTATTGTCCAGGATAAACCATAGTCCACACCTCTGGCCCAGGTAATGTCCCAGAGACTAGCCTTGGTTTAGGGATGGGTAGCTTTATTGCCAGTATAAGGCCCAACCAACCTGTTATTTTAAAACGTGCAGGTGATGTGGGACCTGACCTAAGCTTCCTGAAGGTCAAGGTGTTTTGGGAGGGTGGCTGACTGTGGCAGTGCATTTCAGAGTCAAATCTGCAATATTGCACACAGCTTCAGACGACTCCAATGGGTGACTGTGCCTGTGTACCACATGGCCACGTGAGTGAGCTGTACCCAAGGGCTGCGAACAAGAAAACCTTATTAACATGTAGAAAATTCCTTTGATTTCAAAGCACTTATGAACCATCTGGCACATACCACCATCACATTCCAGCCTGGGATGCCAGCCTGGGACCAGACCCATCACATCAGGTCCGGACATACACAAGACACGAAGTCTGCCCCACTCCCTACTTGCCGACACAAATTTCTGCCCATTTTTCATTTTTATGCTTTAAATATACCTCTGAGAGAAGAGTTAGAGCAGCTGTTAACACACAGGAGCCACACAGCTACCTGGCAGCATCCATCTCAGGTATTTCTCCCGCAGAGTGAAGCCAAAGAAAACCCACAGAGAAAACCATCTGGCTCCTTCTGTGTGCAAACGCATCCAAGACACCTGGGAACTCATGTTTTCTACAGGCAGCCCCAGTCCACACAGTTGGCTTCTCAGGGGCTATTAGCCACCTAAGGCACTAGCACAGGGTGACCCCAACTTAAATCAGCCGAAAATCTAATATGTGAGGTGGAAATTCACTGCCAGTATCTCTTCATAATGTCTAAAGCAGGCAGCTGGTTGAATTCATCAACTGACTAAGCCATAGGATTGGTAGAGGGGATAAAGCAGCAAGAAAACCAGCAAGGAGTTGAAATTTTTATGTCCATATGCTCCTACACCAAAGTCTCTTTACAGTGTTTCAAGATTTTTCCATTAGGGATGAATAACCAGGACGGGGATGGAGGATCGCGTAGGTCAGGCATGTTCTCCTTGCCTCTTGAATTTGTAAGGAACATAACTAATACTTGCACTTGTGCCATTTTTCTGGATCATGGCAGAAGGACTGAGTTGTCTGCATATAAAACATAACAGGAGACCAGGAATGCACTCATGGGAGTCCTGTGATGGACTGGAGCTTCAAGGAACTCTTCCAGTGATGGGTAAATGATTCTCAGCAGTGTTTGCAGAAAACAAACCTCAAAAAACTAAAACAAAACCAGCCCCACATGTGAACAAATATTCACAATAATTACATTTGGTGCCTTAACTATTTGTGCTGCATGCACCCATGGAATCAGCCCTTCAGCAAAAAAAAGGGGGAAATGAGATTTGTTTGATCAATCATAACTAGACCGTTATGGCTACATTCAGCCTATCTAGAACTAAATAAAAAGAAAGAATTCCACTTAATCATTTCCAGACCTTGGATAAGTTTCAGAAGCTCTTTGTGTCTCTGTCTCCTCATACACTAAATGAGTACAAATCATCCCTATATAACTCTGTGATGTGTTTGACAGCTTAAGTAATATAGTATCTGAAACTGAAATATGCTTAATAAGTTAGAAGTAAGGAGCAGAGGTAATGACTGGTAATGATTTTGCTCTTTTTTATTCATTTTTATTTGTGTTCTTCTAGAACCTAGAAATTAATGCTGATTACTATTTTATGGTTAATAGCACAGAAAAAAAAGATGGCTTCACTTGAATACCCACTTGCTCTGGTATTAATTCTCTGCAGCCCTGATCAGGGAACTAATTTGAACACCCCCAGCGATAGCAGTTTACTGTTACATTTTCATTTCACACTTACAGATGAAGCACATTTTTAAAGGCAGATAGCTACAATCTGCATAATCTGTAGCCATAGGTGAGACTATAACCACAATAAACATGCCAGATCAAGCACAGAAAGGTCACATTTTTGACTTTCCCTATGTGACTTTTGTTTATGGAGTTATGCGAGTAGCTAGAGTGTTTTGAAAAGCCTGGGAAACCTTCTAGTCCAAATTCAGGTAAGAAAAATCATTCAATCCCCATGGCTTTGAAACTCTGTTACTGATGTGCATAACAGGAGATTGCACTACAGAAGTACTACAAGATAAGCCAAGTGGTTAATATAAAAAAGAGTCACAGAAAAAGTTGCTCCAAAGAAGTCTTACAAGACAAGCTAAGAGATGGTATCCACCTACGAAAGACTTAAAATACATAATCAGGCCTTGAAACACTTACCCCAGCACAGTCATCTCATTCACCGATTCAGAGCTCAGATTCATGCAGCCTTCAAAAAATCTAAATTTCCCTAATGGAAGAGTTATGTTTTTATTGGTCTGCAGGGAAGGAACATTTCAAGCACTTAATGCAATGCCCGCTCTCATTTCCATAACTCTTCCTCCATTAAGAAATGAAAAAGAACTGAAAAAAATTACTCCCTTTTGCTGACAATTCTGCAGATTTTCTGTCCATCATGTTCTGTATACAAAGGAAACAACACCAACATCTTTTACGCACTGTTGCAAGCTTGGTGATGATGCCAGTTTCCTTCAAACACAGAGACCAAAAATAATGAAAGCATTAAAACACTCTTAACACAGTTAGAAATTGTAACTGAAAAGGCAAAACCTTTCACTTCTCTTACACTTTCATGTTATCATGACTCAAAATTAAATATTCTGATGCACAGGAGCAAACGGAAATCTAGATCAATACGGCATCATCACCACAAAAAAATAATTATGTAGCGAAGTAATATTCTCACAAACTGCCATAACACTTGATAGACCTAGAGTTAGATTATCAGCATGCAATAAATAAGTGCGTCTGACACTAATTATAACACTGTAAGTATGAGACACACCACATTTCTGAAGTAGAATATGCAACAAGCCAGTTCTGAATCTTTCCAGATAAATAATGTAAAAGAAATAAATATATTTTACTCTTGGACTTGATGCAAAGAAAACAGAAGTCAACGGAAAACTGGATTAAGCATTGTTCTGGGTTCAGAAAAGTAGAGAATATAATCTTTTTCTCTTTGTGTACCTGTTTCTCTCCAAAAGGTTCCATTCAATTGTTCAGAAAAGCACATTTGAGATAAAATACATCTGATATGGCTGGTCGCACAATAGCCTAACATGTTTCACTGCCTGCATGCTATCTGGCACAGTGAGAAATCTCTTTCTCTGTCATTTGTTGTTCTTCCTCTCATCACAAACATGACAACAAGGTTTCCCCACACCTCTCTTTGCAAGAGCAGATGCTGCTCCCAGCCCCCATGCTGCCACTGACTTGCTCTTTATGCCCAGGCTCGGCTGCTATGGCTTTAACCTCTTACCACAAACCTCTACTAACTGTGTTGTGTTCTGTTAGCAGAGTCCTGGTTCATGTCCATCTGAGCCATCCCATTGCACTGCACTCAACTGCCTTTGATTAACTTCCTATGCAACTTTGCAATTAAATCAGTGGCCACCTCCTTTCCAACACTAATTTATGTTATTGTTTCTTTCCAGTGGTTCCTTTGATCATTTGGCTGGAGAAGCTAAGGTAGAGATATCAATGGGAGTAGGATGCATTTTTTTTTCCCCTTCTGCATGTTTTCCTGTTTGCTTCTGATTTATTTCAAGCATTTTCCTTGCAGGACACTGATGGAGGATCCCACCATGCTCTGGGCTGTAGCTCTATTTTTGGGGACAGGTGAGGCTGAGATCTTTTAAGGACTCTTTTGGGCTGGTTATCTACTTTCAGCCCACCAGAATCTACTATTCATCTCTGCAGAAAATCCTACACAGTAAATACATCATTCTCCTTCCTACTCTAGCCCCTCATTAGCAGACCCAATGGCTTAATAGTAATGCAAATGTTTGTAGACACACAAAAGAAGTTGCCAGAGCTCCTCAATGTATTGAAATGTTGGACACATGCTGCAGAATAAAGAATGTGAAAAGTACAAAAATATGGCAAGACAGCATAGCTTGTTTCCTCACGAAGCGGTGAGGTATCCGGTAAAACATAGAAGGCTTTGCAAAAGGTATCAACTGATTTTTTGCTGGGTTAAACGCACAGAAAAATGAGCCCTAACAGCTCACTAGCTTTCTTCGGCTCACTTTGGAAGAGATGGTAAAAACTCCTAGATCAGAGCTTAAAACAGAAAAAGCACTTTGACTCACAACCCTAATTTGCAGCTGAAGCAATCCCAACCAGTGTTGTCTTCAAGGAAATTCAATGCTTCAACAGATGTCCTAAGACTATTTTAGGGAATTATTAAAAATATTTGGAAATCCTTTTAAATTTTAACAGGCAATTTTAAAATAAAGCATCACAGTCATTGTGGTTGTAATTTGGATGGTCAGAAGGAGTAGCTTTGATTCGATCCCGTGGATTCAAAGACTTCACACAGTAAGTGCAAGTGAAGCTTGTGGAAATAATGGAAATGGTGAATTTCCTGCAGGCTTGACAAAGTAATGGGAAAAATTAAAATATTAAAGCATAATCCAGGTTGGCAAGGAGCAGTCTATGGAGAAGCCACTCCGAGCACCATTTTCATGCTCAATGGTGCCTCTTGCTGACATTACAGACAGTGAGCGCTGCTCCACAGACAGCTGGACTGTCAGAGGGCAAAAGCTCATTTTCTGTAAAGCAAGCAGCCATCCCACTATGAGAGCAAAAGCTCCTCAGGCTGCCTACAGCCACGAGCAGCACCTTCGCTTGCCTGCACCCTGAGTGCTGTTTTAAGGAGCTGCTGATGGAGGGGAAGTGTTCACGTGGGTTATAACAACCCTGAACAA